TATAATTTAATTTTTATAATAATATTATTAAATTTTAATTAAATATAAAAAGCATGTATCTATATATAAAATATCTGATTTTTGAACATTAAAACTTAAAATCTGATTTTTGAACTTGGATCTTGAAAAGTAGGGATCCATGTAATTTCCACTTTAAAAAAAAACAAATAATTTGCACTAATGAAAATAAATTCCAAGCCCAGTCCACTTAACATCAAAATAGAATAAAAAGAGGCCCTTCCATGACTTTACATTGGGCCCAAATATTTTAGGTCAAGAGAGGCTAATGAAGCCCAAGAAAATTTAATTTTTTGGCCCAATTTTGTATAAAATGCTGACCCAAATTCATTGAAGCCCATTAGTGAACCAACAATTTCTAATATGTGTAAGTGGGTGATATTAATTGCATCAAGTCCACTTAAAAAAAAATTGCATCAAGTCAGGAAAAATACCAATCAAGCCGTGAACTTCCCTTTGTCAGACAAAATATCTTGCAAAATTGAATGGGCTTCTTGCAAACACGCTACCATCAAAGTCCTTTCACCATCAAAATTTAATGTTGCACAGTGAAGCATTCCAAGAGCAGGATCAGAGCAGGATCGTAGATCATGAACTGCCGAATGTCCGCGACGGTCTTTGCTGGAGTTTAGTAAAGTTTTTTGCGACATTTCATCAAACAGGTTGCATGTACTTTCATAAATCTCTTCACATGTGTAAAATTAAGCATCTGTGCTAATGGAGTAATCATGATATATTTGAATCAAGCATTCAAACCCATGAACAAAATTCACACTTTCCGGAATTTCACAAAAATGTGGTTGGAAGTTTAGAAAATAGGCAGAGATTCAATTCGTGGTGGTTGCGGAATGTGGCCTCTTCTTTTTGGCTGAATCTCAAGTTATTTCCGCTTCGGTTCATTACAGAAGACCCCCTGAACACCCTCTTCCGATTGTGTATGAAGGTTCGTGGGCTGCACTTCAATGGGTGATTTCGCATTCCAAAGGCGATGGCCACGAGGAATGGTTGAACAAACAGCGAGAGCGCATGCGCTAATATAGTCCACAATTTGGCAATTGCAATTGGGAATTCTGAATTAGATTTAGGGCTAAATATGAACATTCTTGGTATTGCATTGGTTCATCCATACGTTTGGGGGTGGGATCCAATCGGGTCGGAGGCAGTGGATCTGGATAGGAAGGCATCAGTGGACAAATTGTATTATCAACACAAATTGATGTCTGGACTGTATAATTAATTGTTTGCATCAGTAAAGATTCATCAAATTCCTTAGACACCAAATTCTCGTATGGAGCTCTCACTGCACCCATGAATTCATTTAGCTCAGGAGGAAGTTGGACTTGACCCATAGCTGGGCTAGGAGCACTAGGTTGAGAAGAAAGTGGCCTAGGTAGTCCGCCACCGTGACTTGAACGGACGGCATTGGATTTAACAATTTTCAGTTTGTCGTAGCGAGTTCGCAACTGTGTAAGCTTCTAGGTCAGATTCAGGCTGATGTAGGGTAAATTGGGGGAAATTTTTGTGGATGTGTGTGTTTGGGACTTTTGGTAGCGATTCCCACAGACGGCGCCAATGATGATGCCAAAATTCGTACCTGGGCCAACCCGAGCTTGACGGAAGAGCTCTGCTTGATCCAATCTTCGATACCTGAAATAAAGGCGTCGAGGTGTGTCCTCGTCGCCCCTCCGATGCTTAAGTCAGAGAGAGAATTATGTGAAAAATCGTATATTAGAATGTTATAAAAAACATGCCTGAATAATGAGGTCTAGTGTTGTATTTATAGATGTTGGAGTTAGAGTCCTGAAAGGATCCAGCTACCTGAAGTACTTATCACTTAAGTTGTTTGTGTTGTGTTAGAAGTGCACAATTTGTGTTAGGGTCAAATTTGTAATGAACTAGGAGTTTGTACTTAAATAGGACTAACATTCCTAGGCCTGACCTTATAATGGGCCCGACCTCGAAATCAGCCTAGTTGGAGTGGGCCAAGATCGGACCTGCTAGCCCGAGTTCAGGTCAAGTAGCTCGAGCTCGGGCCTATCGATATTTTTTCGTATCACAGGTCCCCGTGCATCCGGTCACAGCTAGAAGTTACGTGTTTGAGCTGCAAGGTGGGACGCAAAGAGGCGCAACAAGTTTAAGTCTTTGTTCGATTTGCAATTTGTATGTAGCTCGAGTTCGTTACTTAGCCAATTTTTGGTCAATAAGCTCGAGTTTTGCATTAAATAAGTATTACGAGCTTGTTACTTGGCCAATTTTTGGCCAATAAGCTCGATAATGAGTTCGAGCATGTAAACGGCCAAGTTTGTTGCAAGAGATAGCTCGAGTCGTATTACTTTTGACATATTTTTAGGCCAAGTAGCTCGAGTGATGTTTTGTCATCACTTCAAGTCGTATTACTTTGACATTTTTTTAGGCCAAGTAGCTCGAGTAATATTTTGCCATCACTTCAAGTCATGTTACTTGGTCGATTTTGGCCAATAGCTCGAGTGATGTTTTGTAATGAGCTCGAGGCATGTTACTTGACCGATTTTTTGCCA